GACTACAGGTGGTTATAACACGATATTGCCTCACAACACATTTCTCAGAGCATAATTCCCCAAGTCATAAGCTATGCATGAGTGTATTCACATAGTTTACATTGCACTAAGTATTATAAGCAATCTATAGATGATTTAAAGTATACAGGATGATGTGCATGTGCTGTATACAAATACTGTGCCATTTTATGTAAGGAGCTTCAGCATCTGTGACATTTGTTATCTCCAGGGGTCCTGGCACGAATCCCTTGCAGATAACAAGGGCCAACTGTAATGCAGGTAAAATATTTTTCCCAGTGCAAAACTCATAGAATGTGCTCAGTTAATAGTAAGTACTATGATGAGGATGAATCAGAGGATCTAGGATTTGTTTGTTCTTCTTCTACCAGAATGCTGGTAGAAGATTTTTCTTCCTCTTTATTATCCTTGATTTTTATAAGCTGAACAAAACAAAGCAAAATGACATAGAGGAAATGGTGGCATGATTGCCACATTAATTTTTAGTCTGTTATTTCTAATTTATGAATGTGAGGCTATATTTTTCACCTTAAGGATAGCTTTGACCACATTCCATATGTTTTATTATATATTTTATTACCTTTAAGTTACAATGTTTTCTAAACTCCTTGATTAATAAAATTAAAAGTACATACTTAAATTTATAAATATATTTATCTTTTGTTACTGGTTTTCTAAATTGCATCTCAGAAAGTGGATGAGATCTTTATTATATAGGTTATTTGAAATTTGCCCACTATTTAACATTTGGTCACTTAAAATAAATATTCTATATGTGCTTGAGAAGAATTTGTATTTCCCAATTATTTTCTGTAAATACAATATATATTTATTGGGTCAAGCTTGTTAATTATATTGGCTCACTCCTGTATTCTTCCTAATTTCTCATTAATGTATTAATTCCTGAGAGAGGAATATTGGTATCCTCCACTATCGTATTAGCCCCATCAAACTCTCTTTGGATTTCTGTCAATGTTATTACTTTGTTACATCTTTCTGGTGAATTGAATATTTCAATACCATGTCAGGACTTTATATTTAATGATGCTCTTGGTTCACAGTCCATTATGTTGGTCTATATGCCAATGTTTGGTTGCTATATGCATCAGTATTTATATTGAAAGATTGTTCCTGTTTCCCACACATTCCTTAATGTGCTAATATGATAAGCCAAGTTTATAAATTAGACTTAAGTGATACGAATGGAAGACATAAACTGCACACATGTACCTTTTAATGGCAAAGGTTATGGGACAAGAAACCTCTATATGCCATTCGAATCTTCCCCATAAAAAGGGCATCCTCTTGATGAGAAAGAATTTCAGCTTGCCCCTGTGCACACAGTATCCCATAATTGAAAGCACTGTCAATCATTTTTGCATAGATATGCTTTATTACATAATATGGATTACTGTACATATTATGCTTTTTTGCATAATTATTTTTGCATTCTATTTATCAAGTAATGATACCATACTTTATGAGTGACTTAAGGGATTTTTAAAAATAATGTTTATTGACTTTTTAATGATCTCATATAACAATATGATTCTGCTGCACTCTTATTAATCATTACTAAAAATCATTTTAACAATTGTCTAGTAAACCACTCTTACACTGCCACTAATTGCTCTGGACTCACTTTCACTGATGCTGGCCCTCTTGACCTCAGGCACTTAGCTTTGTACCTCTATTGTAATATTTTCTTGGCTTCCTTGGAATATCTCCTGGTCTACCTTCCTTTATGGCCATTGCTTCTTTATAGTTTTCAGCTCAGCTTATATTTTTGCCCTCAGTAATAACCATGACATGGACTAAATATTCCTGCTCTCAAGACTTATGTAACAATCTCACACACCAAGTATGACTCACTTCTCTATTCAAGGGATTTTATTCAGACATTTTTAACAAATCTTTGTCGAGTGCCTATTGCATGCCAGGACATGTTTTGGGTACTAGAGTTTTAAAAACCATAGTCTTACATACAAATGTGCATGGTCACACGGACATTGTAAAAGGTGATTTGGGGGAGAACTAATAATATGCTATTATTAAGATAATGAGCATCATGAAATATATACACAAAACGATAAATTTATCTCATCTTTGAGTGAGATAAAGGCACTTTCGATCTGTAGAGAGGATAAAGTTAAGTAATTAAATTTCTATTCTCTATAATGAGAAATTTAGAATAAATATGAATGAGTTCTTAATCAGTGTAATGAATCAAGGAAAGAATTTGTTTAATCAAATTATTCTAAGTAAGATACATTCTCATTTGTCTTTGATAGCTTGAGTGGGGTGTTCCCTGAAGGCATCTGTGGAGTAGATGATAATCAGTTTCAAATACTTAGATTTGATGGTGAATGTTTCACTATTTTTTATTGTAGAGTCTTGTACCTTAAGTTTGTACTTTAACAAATTAGTTTCAGTTGCTGACATTAATTACGGTCATTTTGACTAAAGCCATCTAGAAAGCTATCACTTTGTTATTTTACCCCCTCAGTTTGTCAGTGCGTATGCTTTTGGATACCTCTGGCCTAGTTTCTTCCCAGGTGTCTTGCCTCCCAGAAAGCCCCCAATGATTTTGCCTCCTGGTATGTGAACCCTTGTATCACGTTTTCCCACAGGGTACAATATGGCAGAAGTAGTGGTATACCACTTCCAATACTAGATTATAAAGATTGTCCCTTCTGTCTCTGGAGTTCCCTTGCTCATGGACTCTCTCTCATTCCTTGGATCATCTGCTCTGGGAGAAACCAACTCTATGGCCTGAGGACATTTGTTGAAAACTGAGTAGCAAGAAATTGAGGGTCCCACACCTACACACCATGGGGAATTAAGGTCTTCCACTAACCACATCAATACCACCTTAGAAGTAGATTCTTCAGCCCCAGTGAGCTTGAGATGACTGTGGTCTCAGTCAACAGTGTGACTGCAACTCATGGGAAACCTTAAGCCAGATCCACCCCGCAAAACTGCTTCCCAGATTCTTGAGCCTCAGAATGTGAACTCATCAAAGTTTGTTGTGCTAAACTGCTAAGTTTTGGGGTAATTTGTTATGTATTAATAGATAACTTACGTGCTAGGTCCCTAAGAAAATCTACAATAAAGATATAATTTGTCATGAGATAAGACATCGTACCGGAGCCTCTTCCCAAAGAATTTTGACTGGTCCATGGATTCCTTAAGAGAGGAATAGCTTCATATTTTCCCCTGTGTCCAGCCCTTTATAGTTTGTTCTAGTAATGAATGGCTGGGATGATTTTGTTTTCTTCATCAGAGCCCTAAGTTACTTATTGATTATAGGAACATTTGCAGAAAAGCATTATTTTATATTTATAATTATATGTACATATGTACACATCTACCTGCATATAACAATATTAAAAAATGTTCTATTTTTACTCACACATAGGTACTATATAGAGACAGAAAAAGGAGAGTTAGTTAGATCATTGATACACAAACACACACACATGCATAAATGCACACTTTTTTATATTCCTATGCATTTTACATTTGTACACATATGTATATTTACACACATATGTATTTATTTTACATTTTGCATTTACACACCTATGTATATATTTATATATATATTTATCCTTGTCTATCTACATATAGACACACATATATAAATGCAAGCCCTATACATATAGCTTTATCTGTATTTATCTGGCTATAGAAATTTTCCATGGGAATTCAAACTAAGGAGTATTTATTGTTGGTTAGAAAATTAAAAGAAAACATTAATTAGAGTAATAATGTATTTTACTATACATCAGCCCTTTAAAAATTTTCATAAAATTAAAAAAGGAAAAAGAATAGAAATATTACTTCATGGATTCCAAACAAATATGTGCGTAGTGTTTTTTTGTATACACACGTAAAATTTCCTCTTTAATTTACTCTATGAAGATTTATACAGTTTATTTTTAAAAAATACAGATCAAGATAAAAATTGAATCTTCTTTTGCTTTTTTTTTTTGAGACAGAGTCTCACTCTGTCCCCCAGGCTGGAGTGCAGTGGTACTATCTCGGCTCACTGCACACTGCAACCTCTACTTCCTGGTTTCAAGTGATTCTACTGCCTCAGCCTCCGGAGTAGCTGGGATTACAGGTGTGTGCCACCATGCCCCACTAATTTTTTGTATTTTTAGTACAGACAGGGTTTCACCATGTTGTCCAGTCTGATTTTGAACTTCTGACCTCAAGTGATTTGCCCGCCTTGGCCTCCCAAAGTGGTAGGATTACAGGCGTGAGCCACTGTTTCCGGACAAAAATTGAATCTTTACTGAAATTATTTATTTCAGTTTTTCCTTGAGATGCTAAATGCAGTAAGTATAATAACTCCATTACCAAATTACTATCTTATCAACTTTAATTAATTATCTCTATATTACTGTAATTATGTTATTGAAGAAAATACTACATAGTAGAGTCAACTTAAAATCTGGTGATATTCCATGCATAATTGTCATTCATTTCTATTGAAACGCAAATAATTCTTGGCTAATTCTCATTTTATCAAGGTACAGTTCTTGCAAAATACCACTGAAACCTGATGAGGATCAGAGTGATTTTTTTTCTATTTTTGAAGACTCTCCATCTCTCTGTATGTATATGTGTTTTTGTCTTACTATGTTTTCTTAACTGGCATTAGCCATTTAAACCCAAACATGAAAAAGAAAATTTTAGAGCAGCCACTAAATAGAATGAGTATTTTCTATTTCCACAATGATATATTGGTAACGGCAATTGTTTAAATATGGAAAATGAAAGAAGAAAGAAAATTAAATATTTATTTTGAATCTAAACATGTAAAATGTGATTTTAAGAATATGGATAAACCTATGCTGATTAATTGCAAAATTTTATGACATTTTTGCTTCTGCATGTAAGAATATGACAAATTGCATTCTACTTAGAAGCTATGTGAAAATGAACCCTTTTGTGAAAAACTCACCACCACTCACCTGTGCACCCAGGTTTCTGGAATGTTGTGTGCAGCATACACTGTGAAGCTGAGGTGGGAAGGAAGCCCGGGATTTAGATAGGAAATGCATCTGGGTACATTTACAGGCTGAAAATCTGCATAAAAGCTGTTACAATAGACATTGATGAGCTGGTAGATGGATGTGGATAGTTCAGTTGTTACCTTCTCTATCAAGCCTAGAAAGGAAGAGGTAGAGATCAAGTCACTAACAAGGGCCATATTTATCATAGGCCATCAATTACAGCTTTGAAATGTCTTATAATACAATTTAAATAAATTTAATTAAAGTGAGCCTTTACCAACTGAAGACAATTAACTATCTGTTCTTCTGAATGCAACCTGGCTTAGTTGCTAGTAGATTATTTATCAATAAGCTTTCTGATCTTCAGCTGCAGAAATCTTCGAAGCATGGCCTTTTCATCACAATTTGGAATATTAAAAATTATTAATTTGACATTCTGATCAACTGTAATTTGCAATATTTTTTTTCAGATTTGTGATTGTTTAAAATTAATTTTCAGACAAGGAATTTTTTTCTACATGACTTATAAGTACATCAAACAAATTCTATCTAAAGAATTAATCACAATAAATTTGATGATGCTATCATGTTTACCATTAACTGAACACTAATCATATACAATGCACTGATATAAAAACAGAATGAAAATAGTACATGGCTAGGATTTAAAACCAGCTTGAAATGAAAGATTTATGATGTTTACTGTATCTCTTCAAAATCAAAGCCTTTCTTGAGTTTTGCCATTAGTTATTTAAAAGGAGTCACTGGTTATTCCTAAAAGTGATTTGTCATGAAAGAAGAAAAATCACTAGGTATAGGTGCTAATAGTTTTTCTGGCAGCTAAGTAGATATTGAGAACAAGTAAACACATCATCAGAAATTGTGTTTTGTTTTGTTTTTTAATCTGCTGTGATATGAATCCATGTGCTGTTAGTCAATAAAGTTGTTTATTCAAACACATGCAATTATTTATAAGTTGTTTTTAAAACATGCAATTCCCTATATAGTAGTTCAGTCTTAACAGTACTTTTGCTTTCCACAGTTTGTTACCCAAAGTAAACTTAAGTAAAAAAAAAATTAAGTGAAAATTCCAGAAATACACAATTTATAAGTTAAAAAAACACGAATTGCCTTTTGTTTCTAATCGTTTGGAAACGAAAATAGTACAGAGCTAGATATTTCCTTTGATAATCTACAGTATTCCAGCACACAGGCAGTTGGATACTTCAGGAAAGTGGCCAGTTTGACATGGAGCTTCTTCCTACATCCTGTCTGTGCCTCAGTAGCTCTGTCTATAATTAAATATTTTTGTTGTTGTTTAACATATGCTGTTCTTCACTTAGTTATTCATAAATTTGTACAAAATATATAAGGTAGATTAACTTTCCTTATTTGTTATATTTCTTAAATTGTGCCCTCTGTTGAAACTGCCTGGGGGGACAAGCAGAGGAAAAAGAAAACCTGTAATTAAAATTCTCTGAGAAGTCGGCAGTAGCAATTAATGAAGCGGAAGAGTAAAGCAGTGTAAAAATAGTCTTAAAAGAGGCCACATCAAACTCTGGAGGCCAACGAACAGAGATTCTCCTGAACAGCAGAAAGCAGAGAATTATAAATGTATAGAAACATCTTGTTTCTCTGTCTCCAAATTGTACTCTTGGTAGCCTGAAGCAGGAAACATAAACTTCTTTTCAAGAATTCCCAACATTGTGCAAATGAACACACATCTAAAACAAATCATAAATTTATTAATGTAAGCGCTAGCATATATTTTGGGGGAAACTTAGTCATTTGGTTACTCACTCAAACTCTACTTTTTGCTTTTTGTGCAGAAACATGGTTCTTGGATATAATTTGCTACTTTAAGTTTGCGTAGAGATGTATGCTTATGCATTATGTTTTACTTCCTGAACTCTGGATGAAGACTACATTTCAAATAACATCATGAAATCGTATTAAGCACCCAAGACACAGGGCTTGGTACTGAAATACGGTGGGAAAAGAGTTTATTGCACCTAATTTTACTCTGGAAAAGAGTTACAGTGCCATGAAATAAAGAGGCAAGGACAATCTATGTGCAATTTAGACTCAATTAAAATCTGTCATGATTTATTATAGGATATAAGTCTCCAGGAACATTTCTGTACAGTTTTGTGGGATCTCATATTCTAGTCCCCGGAGGAATATAGGGGAGGAGACCTCATTACAACATTCCTGATAGAAAAGGAGAATCAGTTTCATACAGACACACCTCCAGCTTGATCACTTCGTGTTCGACCGCTTAGATTCTGCTAGTAATACTGTCAGGGAGTGTCCATTCCTTCCTTCCCTCTATTGTGTTCTAGAGTTTTATGAACACCTAGAATAGGGGTTTTTGTACTTGCACAAGTTTCTTTATACCTCTGCCACCCTATTTTCCTTTTTGATGTGAGATGGGGGAGTTCCTCAAACATAATTGAATGTCTTCTTTTGAGTGGTAGGAATTAGAGTTGAGAGGATATACTTTTGTACATGACTACTGAAACAGTTAAGGGTGTGGAGGACAGGTGAGGTTTTCATTTGCCTTCCAGTGGATTTTTCTGAATCCAAGTGTGTTAGTTGAACATCTGAGGGGCAGACAGTTTTCTTGCAGATACTCAGAGTATTCCTGTGCCAAATACCATCTACAACCAAGAATGATCCTGACCAGACCCTGCACATTAAATCCTATTATATTGTTTATGCCTGTTAGGATAACAAGATCAAAGAGTTTAATCTAGAATCACAGACTCTGAAAGTAGAATCTTTGATTCAAAATCAGTTGAGATTTGAGTTGGGAGAGTTGAAATTCAAAACCAGTTCTGCCTGATTCCAAAAGTCAGACTCTGCTCTATCCCACGCAATCTCACACCTACTGTTTTCTATAGAGGCAAAGTCCTCCCATGGCTTGTAATTTTATAGACTCAGGGCCTCTGTAAACACTAATTATTCCAGAACCAAATCCTCCTACCTGTTACATTAGCTTGGTCTTTCATATAGAGCTGGAATTTAAATTTGAAGTGGGTGACCTTGCAGACAGACATCTACCACTTTTCTAATTTTTCTTACATCAAAATATAATTAGGTAAATGGTAAAATTCTCAATGTCTTGGAATGGTTATAAGATATTTTCAGCATTTTAATATTTATAGATCTTTTTTGTAGACTTTTCTCATTATTTTAAAAATATCAGGCTAAAAGTTTACAGAGTGTGGATTTTTATTCCCTTGCAGAATAAACACTTCCATTAATAAAAAGGATTTTAGAAAAGCATCTTTCTCCTCATGAGGCTGTGTGTGTGTGTGCGTGTGTGTGTGTGTGTTTTGTGTTACCACAGTATTTGGATAAAAAAATTATTTTGGATTCTGTAACTTATTTTTTTCTTTTATTTATTTCAAAATACTTGAGTACATGTATGTTTTACCTTTTGCTGAAGTCTCTGAACTTTGATAAAAATTCTGAAAGAAATGTAAAATTATACTTGTTATTCACACAACAAATTCACAAAATAATCAAAAGGTAACGTCCAAAATCTAAACATTATAATTTCTTTGTCATGATACGACAACAAAATATTTCTTGGCATCATATATCAATTTGCTTATTAAACAGAATAAATTTAAATTGTATGATGAAATAAAAACTTTCTAAATATTGTAATAAGCAATGTAGGTAATTTTTTAAAAGAGAAATTACCACGATAGATTGTCTAAGCTCAATCCCCCTTATATAACAGTGACTAATCTTTTGAGAAAAGTGCATGTCTAATTCTCTCTGTATGCCGTGTCCAGCTCTTATTCTTAGCAGTTATTCAACAAGCTTTGGACACCACCTAAAAGAAGACTGAATTGAGGTGGACAAAATCAGTATAGATTCAGTAAATAGTTTTCTTTCTTTTTTCCTTTTTAGGAAATTTTTAAAACTCTGATAGTCAAACACTTGAAAAAATAAAATATATTGAGTCATATCTTAAATAAAAAATACAATCTGAAATCCTGTTTTTTTGTTTCCATTTTCATTATTCTTCAGGTTCATGTCCATTAGTGTGGTGGCCTTCCTTATTTACTTATTTTTATCCTTGTTAGAAACCTAGAATTACTTTGGTGGCTTAGGATTTGCTGGTTGCAACTGAACTATCATGAAAACTGTATAAGATGATTTATAAACATCCTAAAAAATGGTTTCAGCTCAAAAGGAAATACAATTATTAATAAGATCCATTTTAATTGCCATTAAAATGTTTTAAATGTATAAACTCAAAATTTTAAAAAAGGTGAAAATAAAAAAATAAAATTTCAAGTCTTGCATTTAGGGAAATACAATTAGTTAAAAACCAGATTTCTCAAACAAATAAATTAGAGAATAATTGTTTTTCTATAACAAAAAATTTGTTAGAGTATTCTTTTAGAGAGAGAACATTTCGATCATGTTTAAAATGTCATTACATTTATATGTAACTTTTTAATTAGAAGCATCATTCGCATGAACCTTTTCAGAAGCACTTCTATTAGGTAAAATATTTAATCGGAGTATAGTATCAGTTGCTAGTCTTAACAACTACATATGATATTTCCACCCTATCCATGTGGGTGAGATTATTAAAAATGTTAGTCTGATTTAACTAGAATTCAATTTATTCAGAAATATAGACTTGTATTAGAAAATCGCCATGACATCCACCTACACCATGATGTGAAAGACCATATTTTCACTTTGTGGTTCGCCTATTATGGAATCATTTAATGGAAATTAAATTATGTGAGTTCTGGAATATAATTTGAAGGATGCAAATTGTTTCCAGTGCTGGGTCAGAGAATAAAATAGAGTACAAGTATGTTTGTCATATAATTCTTCATCTTGCCAAAGCTTACATTTAATAAACTCCTAATGACTTCCCTGTATGGCAGGAAATAGTCCTTTGTATGTTGACCAAAAATGCAGCCAAGAAAAAGAAAAGCTTCTCAAATTTCAGTTTGTTGGCAGAAGGCCTGTATTTGTCATTTCTTCAGTCTTAACTTCATGGTGGGTGGATAGACTGCTTTGGCATTGTTAACTGTAGCTGGTTACTGCACAAATTCTGTAAAATGTACTTAATATGTGTGCCAAGATTCTTATATAGGTGGGCTCACAATTAAAATGGGATGGAAAAAGAGATGAACAAAAGTATGAATGCAACTGATGTAGAATAAATGAGCTTTCAACAGTCTGCTCAAAATAAGTAGGATCCAGTTTTTACAGAATATTGAACTATTTTATCTATTGACATATATTAAATAAAACTCCTGATTGTTAACTCCTTTCTTAATTTCTCTGCATGGAAATCATTGTAGTCTTATCAAAATATAGGATAAATATTTAGATATTTATGAGTTTAAAAGTTTCAAAGAAAAATCACACAAAATTTTGTGTTTATACTAGTACATAAGGAAAGTGAAATGTGAAGGTGAGTTTTTCTTGAGTATTATAATTGTTTATGGCTTACGAAATACCCAATTCCTTTGTGAAGAATTCTTTTAACTTCAAATATTAAGTTTGATATTTCTGAAAAATTGTCATTTTTGTTCTTTTAGGGAGTTTCAGAAAATGAGTGTTTTGAAGATAAAACTTTTTATAACCAGCAATACTTTAACATCATTCGAAATGCTTCATCCTAAGACTATATTTTCCTCATTGTTTGATCAGTTGTTTGTCCACCAATTCACCAAGAGCTGGACATAAAAGTAGAAGAATAATCAAATAGTCTTCACAGATGGGAAGACGTGTCCACATCCACACATCTGGTCTCTTCCTCTGGCAATGGTTCATATTTGTCAGGAGGCTGGCTGTAAGCAATGGCCATGAGATGACAGGGGCCAACCTTCCTGGTGCTTGTGTGAATTAAAGCCTTTGTATAGGCCTTGTGGGAAAGATTCTCCAGAACTAGCACCAGCACCATCCTTAATACCTCCAGTAACAACAACGATCTCATTTAAGCTACACTATCATCAGGGCCCTTTACTAACATTATTTCCCATACTTAGAAGAACCCTGCAAATTCTGTTTTATTTTTCTGTTTTAAACATGAGGAAAATTAAAACTCCAAAAAGTGAATTAATTTTCCAAAGGATGTTTATATAGAATCTGGTAGATCTTATATCCAATTCATATTTGCATTATCTTATCTCATGTATTTTATCAGCTTTGGGAGCTTGTAATGTTTCTAAAATGTGACAATTTAAGAGAAATATCTGCCTGTTCAAAGTTAATTCTCACTACCTCGTTATACTGACCTAACATCACCAATTAGAAAGCCCCCTTTCAGCATCATGTAATTCCCAAGTTTTTAAGTTCATCAAAATAGTTATTTTTGAAACATACTGGTGAAATGCTTTTTAAGACGCTAGTACAAGCTTGTCCAACCCGCGGCCTGTGGGCCACATGCAGCCCAGGATGACATTGAATGTGGCCCAACACAAATATCACAAATATGTAAACTTCCTCAAAACATTATGAGATTTTTTTTTAAGCCTATCAGCTATTGTTAGTGTTAGTGTATTTTATGTGTGGCCCAAGACAATTTTTGCAATGTGGCCCAGGGAAGCCAAAAGATTGAACGCCCCTGCTCCAGTACATTTTTTTTTACTCTGATGCAGAATAGAAAAATGTGATTATATTACATGTGATCAAATCAGATTGTTTTACCTTGTTGTTACTTGTAAAGGCCCTATGTCTTAATAGCTACATACAAAAACAGTTTTGGAGACTACATAGTTACTCAGTTTCCTTCTATAATTGGAAAGTAAAAGAGAAGGTGTTTACTTTTTAAGAAAAATTTAGGGAAATGAACACAAATCTGTCTTCGATATTGAATTGCTGGATTTATTGATTACATTATTTAAATTTTGATTTATTTAATGCTTTGCATTTTTAGCTTTTCAGCAATGTTTATCTTTAAAATATTTTTGTGGTATACCTCCATGAGTCATCAAAATCGTCATCGTTCATGTAAAGAATGTATTTAAATTTCTATGTTCATTTTTTTACTGTCTAATCACACAAAACTTTGGATTAAATAAGATCTAGAAAGCCTATCATTAAGAAACTACTGAATTTTCATACCCACTTATCTATTTGAAACAATAAGCAGTAAGCATGATTATTTCTATGTAGTAATATGATTACATTGTAAATCAATCTTTTGAAAATTTCAAGACTGGAATATTCAAAAGTAGTAGAATCTTTCTTGTTGTCTACCATGCAGATAGAGATTATATGTATTCACTCTATCTTAGAAAGTTTCACATACACTGTAATGTGTATAGAGGCCTAGGTTCAAATCTGTATTTTGCCACTTATTAATTCTCCATACACACACACTGTAAGCGTTGAGTTTTAATAGTGAAATGAACATTAAAATACCAACTTTATGACATTGCTATGAGCATAAATTGAGATAAAATAAAAATTAAATTCAATGAGGTAATGCATATGTCAAACTATTTTACATATTACAATGGACTAGCAAATACTAGTTATTATTATCATCGTATCTTTCTGCTTTATCATCTGCTAAACTAATAATAAGATAAATGAATTTATTGTAACCAGATGTCCTAATGTTTTTCTTGGAAAATAATCACTTACAGGTCTATATCAGATTTCTGAGAATTCAAAAGAAAATCACATAATGTTCATTTTTTAAGCCCACCAAACCACAATGTGGGATCCAGAGAAAATCACACAGAAATCATAGAAGCAGTGTGCACTGCAAAATTCGCAAAAGATACCACAAAAATGGATTTTTTCTTTTTTATGAACATGCTTATCCATACAAACATGACACTTATGCCTGTATACACTCATATACGTGAGAACCATTAACAATCTATACAAACACTTATATGTGAATGTTATATAATTACGTTCATTTAGGTAGGATTATAGGATTGATTTCAGTACCACCTAAAGTTATAAGGTGGGTACAAACTTCAAAGGTGTAATCAATGTCCTTATAGTTTAATCAAATCTATTTGGCATAATAGACTCAAGCTGCCAATACTCCCAATCAATTGAAATATACTGTTTGGCAACACACACACACACACACACACACACACACACACCCAGAGATACACACACAATCACACAGACTCAAACATACACACAGAAATACAGTTGTTAGTAAAAAGTCTTTCACTCTCCGTAATTAAGTATTGAACTCAGGTTTAAAACTATTGTGTAATAAATGAATATACTTACCTCTGCTTTTCTCTGAAGAATTAGACTTAGTTCATTTACTGCATCTGTAATTTGTTTGGTTTCCACACACCCTAGAACACTGCATATTTTTTTAACTTCTTCAATAATATTATCCACGTTTTCCTGTAGATAACCAAGATTCACATCTTACAATCTATTGAAATAAATGAGGGAACATCAATTTATTCTCAAACTTCTTCTTTTTCCATGAGGAGCAAGTAGAATAAAATATGATTGTTTGCTTTCACATAAAAAGAAAGTTCTCAAGACTCTGGTTATCCTGTGACTGGGGCTTTAATTTTCACTGAGCAAATGTTCAAAACTAGAACTGACTTAACACTAACTTACTACCTTAGCTCTAATTTAACATTACTTGAAACAAAATGAGAGAGAGAGATAGAAGAAGAGGAAGGATAAGGAAGAGGGAGAGGAAAAGAGAGACAGAGAGGGAGGAGGAAGTGTGGGGAAAGCAGGGAAACTCAGCCTTAGACAAAGTCTGTGGTTTCCACAAAACACTATGAAAACAAAGTAATGACGGTCAATCCCGGGAGAGTCTCAAAACACACCTATTGTTTGGAATCAGGGTATAGTTGGGCAAACTTACTAGAAACTCAGATTCACAGGGTTCAGAACAAACTCTGGACAGCCAGTTGTGGTGTTGAGGTGTTTGATTATCATCTGATTGCACATCCTTGAAGTGACTGATTTTTCAAAACAATCGCTGATGACAAATACAATCTACTGATATAGTTTGGATGTCTGTCCTCTCCAAATCTCATATTGAAATATAAGCCCCTATGTTGGAAGTGAGGTCTGGTGGGAGGCATCGTGTCACGGGGGTGGATCCCTCTTGAATGGCTTGGTGCTGTCCTTGCAATAGTGAGCGAGTTCTCACAAAATCTGTTTGTTTAAAATTGTGCAGCACATCCCGCCTCCCTCTGCTCCAGCTCTCACCAGGTTAGACACCTGCACCCCCTTCACCTTCTGCTATGATTGCAAAGCTTCCTGAGGCCCTCACCAGAAGGCGATGCTGGCACCACACTTCTTGTATTGTCTGCAGAACTGTGAGCCAATTCCACCTCTTTTCTTTATAAATTACCCAGACTCAGGTATTTCTTTATAGCAACACAAAAATGGCCCAATATGCTTACAGCAATGACAAATTCCTAAAATCAACAATGCAGGCTGGCCTTAAGAGAGAGAGCGATTTTATGGTCACCATTCTAAGAATTTTTCATTAGCCGTCCTATATCCCAGATGTGCAGATGTTCTTAAATAAGCATTTATTTTTTTTAAAAAAAACCTTCTCTGTTTTGACCTTATTCTTTTCCATGTTTTGCCATTAACTATAGTGAGAAATCTCTCTTTTCTTTGATTCTGTGTGAATCATGTTTCACTCTACAAGGTTTTTATGTTCTTTGTCTTTATCATTAACAATTGTGTTTTCTCAAAAAACATCAGTTTTGTCACCAGCACCACCGTCATTCCAATGGAAAATTACAACAGTTTATTTTAAGAAGAGATGGAACAGAGTTTTTCCTTTTATTTGCATACAAAGATATGTGTTCACAGCATAAAAAGATTTTAATTCCCCTTACATTTTCTTAACAAAGTGTCAGTACAAAGACACAATGCAAGTTCTATATTAATGGGATAATACTTTGCTTCTTTTGTGGAAAAATAATGTGTACTTTTAAATTTGTTGCCAGTATCTCTGATACGTAATTTTACAAATCCTGAAACCAATGACAAAAACCTGAAGAATAACTAATTAATACTATAAAAGACAAAATGAGGATTCCAAAAATTGTCTACAGATTTTATTAATGAGCTAAAAGTAAAAAGATGCAATTTAGTTGAGATCTATTTTAAGTCTTTCATGGATTAAAAAATATATTTACCCAATAATAACATGGAGAAGAAAAACTTATGAGTCATTCAAATGGAAAAAATCATTTATTTCACTTATGTGTTAACTCAATATAAGTCAATATTGTGACGTACCTACCAGATCCAGTTCATTATTAAATTGAATCAAAAGACACATACTCTGCATAACTAGAAAGTGAGTTCCACCACATTTTCAATGTGTATTATCCAAACTGGTGTTTAGTTTGGATACTAGAGAATGTACTTGATAACTTGAAAATTACCAAAGGCCAACAACCTTACTATTAGTATACTGTTAATACAGTATTCATTCAGAAGAGCATCATAGACAATACTGTCAGCTCTGAAGTCAAGATCTGTTTGTTTACATCCTGGTTCTGCCCCTTTCTACCTACGGCCATCATCAGAGTATTTAACTTTCTTGTCCCTAGGCTCCCTCTTCTGTGAAGTGAGAATAATAACTAAGTTCCTGTAAAGATTAAATTAGATAAAATATGAAATATAGTGCCTGGCAGATAATGAGGGCTAAATGTTAATGTTTAACTAGTTAATTTTATTCATTCACACCAATCTTTCAGTTTATAAGAGAAATGAGACACTGTATATGCACAGATAACTAATAGAATAGAAATTAGAAAATCATAAAAACCTGAAAAGTCATATTAGGTTCTATGTTTATTTTTTCATTCTTCTGTTCTAAGTAAATATGTGCGATGCATGAGTTTGTGAAAATTCATAAACATTACTAAATACTGGCTTGACCTGGGTCACTAGGTAGCTGGTAGCTGATTTATTCCATCTATTACTCCAGTCTTGCACTACTTCTTATGTGATCCACTTATCTGATTTAATATTCACATTCTGAAGATAATCATTATATTCATGCATAACTGAGATTGCTAGAATATGTGGAGCAAAATATTGCAATTGTAAAATTGAGTTGGTGATTAATTGGATATGAGAACCAACAGAAAGGCTGGATTTAAGATGATTCCAAAATTTCATTTCCAAATTTTGGAAACCAAGAATACAGGTGCTATTTATTATGGCAGAAACACAGACAAAATGAAGATTTTTGGTAGAATCATGATGTGAGTATTTTTTGATACATAGGCTTGGAGCTTCCCAGAGGAAATGCAATGGAGTTCTATCTCTAGCAACTGGTGGACTGAGAAAATATAGACACACTACACCACACACACATACACACACCACATGGTGTGTGTATAAACATTAAACAAACTATAAGAAAGGTAGTATAAATCTTAGGGTTGCAGATATTTAGAGGGAACTTCAAGCCTGAGCAGTAGCTCCAACAGTGATGCTGCAATGGCCTGGAGGAAATATCAGACTAGATGTAGATCCTCAGCTATAGGATTGGTGTTTATTGCTAATACTGGGAAATGTGCTGAAATCTTAGGACTAAATCACTTGGTGAAAGTAGGGGAAGGGGCAGGACTGGAGCTAAGATCCTCAGATAGTCCTCAAACATTGGATAGCAGCCACCTGTAAAAGGTGGGAGAAGAAAAACTGTTTCTACTGATCAGAAACACTTTTGACGAAGCCTCTCTCTATTCAGTCCTTGAGTGAGGAAAATGATTATCTGAGAAACTGAACCCTAGTCTGTGCTTTGTGTGTCTCCGGAGTATTAACTTGGACTACTATAGTAGGAATTTATGTTAAACATTACACTAGGCTATTGTGACTTTTTTGGACCCAAGCAGAAGTAAATGCACAATCATTGTATAGAAACACTTTTCTATACCAACCTACAGAGTTTTTTCCCAAATACACATATATATACAAATACATGCACACACACACCAAGAGTACAAGGGGAATATCCGTTTAAAACTTACAAACCCTATGATGGCTAATTCGCATTATGAGATCCCTTACAGATACAAAATGCAGTAGGGTGAGCACCTTATTTCAAGAAATAACAAAGGTAGACTTGGGCAACATTTTCATAGAGGTGATACATAGACAAAAATTTGAATATGATTATCCCGAGAGAGAACATAGATAGAGGAAAAAAAGTTGAATGCTGGGTGCATAACATTTCAGAACTTTTATTATTTTAATGATGGAGGAGAAAGTTTGGGTCACAGATGGAGCATGCAGTGTGGAGACAGAAGCCAGAAGACTATATAGCTTAATAGACATCAACGTGAAGGTAGTTGATAGTATTACAAAATTTTAGCTTGGCAAAAAAGAAAAAAAATAAAACATTATAACCATTTCAAGTATTTGATGGTCTTTCAGGTAAAAAGAGGAGTAGATTTCTTGTAAGTAGCTCTAAAATGATAAATGAGAACAAATGGTTGCAAACCTAGAGAGGTTCTTTTGACTCTCTAGTTTTTCTTAAAATTTTAAGAAAAGTTTTTCTTAAAATTATTTGTTCAAAAACTGTGTAGGCTGCCTTTTGAGTAGAAAGGTGCTCCAGATTCAGGTATATGAGCAATCAGGGATATTTAGAGAAGATTTTTGCATTGCATAGGATTTAGACTAGACTGCCTCTAAATTCTTTCTAACTTCTTTGGGTTAATGAAAACCCGAAAACAACGCTATGATGTTATTTTATGTAGTACATTCCAAGCGTATCTTTGGAAATATTGGATGTTTCGTGAACCTTGAAGGAACCATATGCTAACACTTTAGAATTAATTAAGCATACTTGAAAAATATTTTGAACATTTGAAAAGATGGGTAACAACCTTTTCTCCCCTGCATCTTTCTCGAAAACCAAACAAAACGTCGTAAGTGGTTGATTATTCCCGTCTCTTATTCAGCTGTGATGGAGACCAAAGCAGTATGCATTTAAACAGCCACGTAACAGCATACCATCTCCTAATTTTATACAAACTTTAATTAGTTTCGATTTATATTAGACATACTGAAAATTATCAAATTCAATTAATGAGTTTGGAAACAAATTGAGAATTTAGAATGCTTTTCATTCCAGGTTCAGTAGTTAGTGCCAATATGAATTATTTTTTCCTTAAAGATTAAAAACAGCTTTGAAATGCAACTTGGCTTAAAATATAAAAAAGGATGAGTTCATGTCCCTTGCAGGGACATGGATGAAGCTGGAAACCATCATTCTTATTTAGCAAACTAACACAGGAACAGAAAACCTAACACCTCATGTTCTCACTCATAAGTGGGAGTTGAACAATAAGCACACATGGACACAGGGAAGGGAACATCACACACCAGGCCTGTCGGGAGGT